GAGAGCAGTGGGTGAAGCCGGCGCCCTGAACACCCAGAGGCTGTCAGACACCAGCTCAGCCGTCCATCCACCATTCATTCCTCGACGCCCACACCTGCCTCCTCGCCACACTGACTACCTCTCCCCAGGGCCCCTCACTTCACCCGCACCGCCCTGCTGGGCACACTGGCCTTTACGGCCAGCGGGATCCCAGCCAGAGGTCCCCTCCTCTCGGACCAAAGCAACACCCCCACAGCCACCATCTCTCGACCATCACCTCACCCATTTTACTGCATTTCAAGCACTTGAGGTGTGGCACAGAGCAGCAGGGCCGAGAAGAGACAAATGAGCGGAGTGGAGGCTGTGGCTGGGTCCCTTGAAAAACCCACCATGAAGACACTGTGAGGAGAGAGGAGGGGGCAGATCTAATATAGACTGGGTCCCTAGGTCTGAAGTGACATTAAGGAATTATTGCCAATTTTGTGAGATAGTGATTTTTGTCTTAGTTTAAAAATGGCCCCCTTTGGAAAGAGAGGGAGGGAGAAAGAGGGGTCAAGTATGAAGGCGCTTCAAAAAGCTCGTGGGGAAATCCCATTCTCTTTCAATCCATCCTTCCATGAACTCTTTGAAGACCCTTCCTCTTTGCTTTCTTCACGAAGATGTTCTTGTCTTCCTGCAGCTCCTCCGGTCTCTGTCGAGTGTTCAACGTGTCAAACCAGTTCTGGAGACGGTCTCAGAATTCAGGCAGGATACGCTCAGGTTGCATTGTGGCTCTCGTGGGCTGGTTTTAATTTTCTTCAGCTCCAACTTGAACTTACCTATGATCAATTGATGATCTGTTCCAAAGTCAGTCCCTGACTTGGATTTAGTGGCTGACATTAAGCTTCTCTGTTGTCCTTTCCCACAGATGGCGTCCATTTGATTTCTCGGCAGTCCATCCGGAGAAGCCCATGTCTTTGTTGTTAAGAAAGGTATTTTGTGACGGAAGAAGTCGTTGGTCTTGCAAAACTCTATTGTATCATCTCCAGTTTTGTTTCTATCACAAAGATTATATTTTCCAACTACTGTCCCATCTTTTGAATTCCAATCACCAATAATTGTCAATATATCTTGACTGCATATTTGGTCAATTTCAGGCTGAAGACGTTGATAGAGTGCTTCAACTTCTGAATCACTAGTCTTAGTAAAGTTGAATCATGGTTGTATTAACTGGATTTCCTTGTATACAGATATCCAAAGGCAGCACCTCAGGATCGATCTTGAAATGTCCTTTTGCTGATGAATGTGAAACCACGCCTGTGTCATTCCCAGCATAGTAAACCACGCCATTTTTACCGTCAAAATAGTCCAATGCCAGTCCATCGCAGCTCACTAATGCCAAGGATATCGATCCTTATGCATTTAATTGGTAACGTCTTCCAATTTCCCTAGCTTCGTACATCGTCGTCCACCCACTGACGCTTGCAGTGGCTGCTTCTCATTTTGAGCTGTGCCCCGTCACCAAATGAACGTCCTCATGGCTCTACTCCTGCAGCCCTTACTCAATCTGTCTCATTATGGTTGATGCTGCTATGAGAAGACAGCTTTCCCCCCTAAAATGCAAGATCCATGACAGGCTGCCGGCCCCATAGGGTCCCCCAAGGGTACAGGAAATGCTTGCCCCCAAACACACTCAGTACTTCTGGAACCTGCTCTATGACAGCCACCAGGTGGGAGATCCCCAAGCCTAGGCCCCCCAAACATCGCTGCAAGCTGGTTCTGTTTACAGGGCACTTCCCAGCATTCACCCCATGACTTCAGGACCACGCTGGGGCTGAGTTTGGTGACAATTCCGTGTTCCTGTAAATTGAGACATCACCCTCAAGGGACCTACTGGAAGGAATACGGGTTGCCCATAACCTTGGCTCCATCAAAGGGGTGACATCTGAATTTCTGTGTAAAATGTGCATTCAGCACTCAGAGTTACAGACCACAGCTGACCCCGGGCACCCAGCTGTCTCCTAGCCAACCCTTGGCACTCACCACAGCTAATCACTGGCCTGCAGTCATCAGCGCAGCCAGCCCGGCTGCGTTCGAGCACCACAGTGCTTTGCTCCTTTGACGTAGACTGTAGGGTTGGTCTTGGTGGGCCTGGCTGGGAAGCAAGTGGCCTGAGAGAGTTCAAGTCATGTCTGCGGGCACAGTGGGGAAGGACAAGAGACGAGAGCTGATGACCTGTAGTCTGGGAGGTGGCCAGAAGGGGAAGTGACTGGTGGACACTACAGGGCAACTCCAGGATGGAACACAGGGCAGGGGACTGAGCCAGAGGTCTGAGCTGGGGGCGCCCTGGGAAGGAGACCCCTTGACCTCAGGCTGCACATGTGTTGCCTCCAGGTCTGACCAGAGCGCCTCAAGGTGATACAATCTTGCCCATGTGAGGCTGCCAAACCCCTCACCCAGGGGTGAGTCTCCAAAACCCCACCCCACCCCCAAAGCTGTGCTCATGTGGCATATCTTCATGTCTGCCCTCATGTGTTGTGAACTGTGGCACTGAACATGTGGCACCGTGTCCACCTCCTCCATGAAGGGCCTGAGGAGTGCGGCTGCGGACACCAAGGGTGGACATGCGCCAGCAAACAGCAAACGCTGTGCTTCCTGTAGACTCAGGGCGACTAGGACTGTCCACAGCGCAGACAGCCTCCCGCCTCCCAGCCCTTCCTTGTTTGCTGGCACACGAGTGCTCTGACCCTGCACCGCCACAGCTCCTGGACGAGGGCAGGCTGGTGACCCCCAGCCCCTGCCTCTCTCTCTGCTCTTCTGTGGCACACATGGCACTTCTAGAACCCTCCAAACCGACTCTCAGGTATTGACCAGCCCCGCAGATCCCAGCTGGTGGAGCCAGAGGGTACGGACAGACCTGCTGGAAGTCTGCTCACACTTCCCTGGGTGTGAACCTGCAGCCTCGCTGTCCCAGGATCACCAGAAGCTCCTCCCACCCTCTCTACAGCGTTGCCCTCCTTAGGCCAGAGTCGTAGGGATTCCCAGGTGGCCTAGACCAAGCCTCAGGGGTCGAGACCACTCAGTGCCCTGTGTTCCATTGTTCACCCAGCAGACTCGATGGGGCCAAGCCCTGCTGGCTGTAGGAGCTGACCCACAGCCCACTTTCTAGGTGCCATTCTCTGCTGGTTCTGAGAGCCCTGCCCTGCCCGGCCCAGCCTCCTTGATCTGCTTCACCCAAAATTCAGGCCTCTTTCCACGCTGGTCACCTCCCACGCCTCCTTCCTCCTAAGTGAACCCATGCAGGGAGGTATAAATGGCAAACTCACTCTGCTGCTCGCTGGAAGTTCAAGTCCACCCACAGGCACCTCAGAAGAAAGGCCTGGCCACTGACTTCTGAAAGGACACTCAACTCAGTGCCATCAAGTTGGCTCCAACTCACAATGGCGCTCTAGGGCCAGGGAGAACAGCCCCTCTCGGTTTCTGAGGGGTCACTCCTCACAGGAGTAGGCAACCTCATCTTTCTCACTTGTGGGTAGCAGTGTGATGTGAAAACCACTGTTCCACTGGGGCCCTCTGGAACCCAAGGCACGCAGTTCCACACTGAGACACAGGGGCACCCTGCGTCAGACCTGAGATGTGCAGTTCCACTGAGACACAAGGGGCACCCTGAGTCAGACCTGAGACGTACAGTTCCACGCTGAGACACCCAGTTCCACTGAGACACAAGGGGCACCCTGAGTCAGACCTGAGACGTACAGTTCCACGCTGAGACACCCAGTTCCACTGAGACACAAGGGGCGCCCTGAGTCAGACCTGAGACGTACAGTTCCACGCTGAGACACAAGGGGCACCCCGAGTCAGACCTGATGTGCAGTTCCACACTGAGACACAAGGGGCGCCCTGAGTCAGACCTGAGACGTACAGTTCCATGCTGAGACACAAGGGGC